GTCAAGAAATGAACAATTTAGCTTAATATAGCGTTCGTCATTTGAAAACACGTATGTTTTCTCTAATATCTCGATCAATCTGATTTGATTGTCGTTTGTGACGTCATAATTAGCTTGATGACGTGTTCCAATACGTAATTAAGAACAACACAGGAAGACCGAGCTCGACAATTGCACAAACTATTTGTTGGGATCAAAAGAGCGCGAGGGCGCGCATTTATTATCAGCGCGCGGGACTGTGCAGTGGATCTAAGGAAAATCATTTCAACTAAGCTTATTGTGTGTAGTATCTTTTCTATGTTGAACCCAAGATTCAACATTTAATATTATGTATATAAAGAAAGTTACTGAAAAGACAAAATGTAAAGAACTAATTATTGCTTTTTGAAATAATTTATTTTATTACCGCCTAATTGATTTTATCTCAGAGTGTACATAAATATAAACATACAGTACAGATGATGAAAATAATATACTGCTCAAAAATAAGTGCATTTTAAATCTTTTTGTCATTCTACTTGAGGTCCTTATTACAAAGCTGCATGTTGTGTGAGCAGTCGTAAAGAGTTATATAAACAACAACATGGCAAAAGCAAAATTCTTTCAACCAAGAACAAGTGGCAAAAACTATTATTGTCATTCAAGAGCATAAAAGTGAGAAGACTTAAATAGTGTGCAATATTAAATGTTGTACAAGGACTCGGCAGAGTGTTAAGATCATCCCACAACATTTGATAAAGACTATTTAGTTCACCGTCCTTGCAAATTTGAGTAACGTAAAAGTAYAACGTCTTGTTGGTCCTGTTCGSCAAACTTTTATGACTTTTCGTTCCCTCTTCGCAAAATGAGAAGTCCACTTGACTTTTCCCAGTAAGTGCGACTGATAATTCATTCTTTCTTTCTTGTAAGTAAGCGGTATAAGTTCGATTTTTTTCGGTAAAGTCATTTAGAAAACATTCGTACGTATCACACGCCATGTGTTTCCGACCTACGTTCGGTGAAAGTTCGCCGACCCGTCGAATCTTCGTTTTCCGAAAAAGTGTCCCAGCTACCTGGTGCACACATCGATCCATCACGTGACCAGTGTTTCATACCTTATCACAGATTAGTATGTACTCGCGAGGCGCGAGATCGTGACGTAACACCACAGGTAACCCGAATTTTTCTAAGACTACGCGCCGATATAATAAAAGCGTGCGCATTCGTTCTTTTCTGTTTCTAATGCAATAGTTGGGCGGCCTATGCTTCGGCTTCCCTTTTAACCGAAAAAGACAGGAAGCCCATAACTCTTAGCGATACAATCGATTTGAATATTTTACATATATTA